TATAGATTTTTGCAAAATTCTTTAGTTCTTTATCATGAGATACGTATGCAAAAAAAAGAAAATATGTAAAACATTATGAAGTTAATATCTCTGGTTTACAAAGATCTCCTATAAATAAAAATTTTTAAAAAGAAGCACAGTGGTACACGCCTATTTCAATTACCTACAATGCTGAGGCAGAAAGACTGCAGCTCGGGCAACTTAATGACTACCTGTCTCAAAAATAAAAAGGAATCAAGATAGATTATACATCATGACCAATTAGGATTCATCTGAGGAATGCAGGGATGACATTTGTTAATCAATAAATGGAATATACTACCAAAATAAATAAATAAACAAATAAAATAAAAAGGGCCAAGGATAAAGTCAGTGATAGAACACTTGCTTAGCATATGTGAGGCCTTGGCTTCAATTCCCAGTACCAAAACAAACAAACAAACAAACAACAAATTAAAAAAAAAAAAAGACACTTTATCTCACTAATATGGAAATATCTCACTAAATTAAAATACTCATGGTTAGCAACTATTTTTTAAACTAATAAAGTCTAGTTACATTGATAAGGATTTAAAAAAGAAAAAAACTATAATAGGGCCAGCCAGGTAGCTCAGCAAATTAAAGTGCCTGCTTAGGCAGAGCAGAGACTAGATCTGATCCCCAGCATGCCATGCTGGCCCCACACCTGGGGTGTGTCGAGACCGTGATTGAGACTGGGTGTGGTGGTGGCGTGCATCTGTAATCCCAGCAGTGGGAAGGCTGAAAACAGGAGGATCACTGAGTCCGATCTGTGTAGTGAAACCATATAGACCCTATACTAAATACATTTTTAAAAAATAAAAATAAAAACCATAATAACTTGTTGAGTGTAGCGATGCACACGTATAATCCTAGCACATAGAAGGCCTGAGTTAGGAGGGTTTGAGACCAGCCTGGACTACAAAATAAGACAAGTGTCTCAAAAAAAAAAAAAAAAAAAAAAAACCCAAAAACTAATTAATTAAAAAATAAGTTTTACTGAGATATTATTCAGATACCATAAATTTACCTTGTCAAACTATGATTTGGTGGATTTGAATATATTCAAAATTGCTCGAGCACCTCCTCCGCCTACCGCCAGGTCATGTCTATCATCCTACAGGGAAGCCCTTTCCCCAGCATTAGGCACTGCACGCTCCCCCGCTCCTAGGAACCACTCACCTGCTTTCTCTTTTTAAGGATTTGCTTTTTCAGAAACAGATGCTCTTACACAATGCTTATAAACAAGGCAGGGGGTATATCTTATCCTCTAATCTCACATTACCAGTTCTAGCAATCTAAAAATCTAGAGATAAAAGCATGAACAGCAAAAGAAAACTGAACAAAGACTGCGTGTTAAAGCCCTGTTGTGAGGAATAAACCTAAAAGACCATTAAGAAAGCAGGAAGTGCTTTCCTGTGAGGCGTGAGCGGCGCAAGGCGACGAGTCAGGTCGCTGGGCTTCGTTTTCATCGTGTAGACAGCTCTACCACCAAGATGGTCAATGTATCTAACACCTGAAGGACTTTCTGTAAGAAGTGTGGCAATCATCAGCCTCAGAAAGCGACCCAGTATAAGAAGGGCAAGGATTCCTTGTATACCCAAGGAGAGAGGCGCTACGATCGGAAGCAGAGTGGCTACGGTGGGCAGACGAAACCCATCTTCCAGAAGAAGGCTAAAATGACAGTGATTGTGCTGAGGCTTGAGCATGTGGAGCCCAACTGCACAGTGAAGAGAACGCTGGCCATAAGGGATGCAAGTACTTTGAACTGGGAGGAGACGAGAAGAGAAAGGGCCAAGTGGTCCAGCTCTAACCTTGCGCTTCACTTTAATTCAAATTTGTTGAAGCTATAGAAAGATTAGCTGTAGGAAAATAAATGCAGTAGTAATCACCAAAAAAAAAAAAGGGGGGGGGCACCGGGGAGGTGGTTCAGTGGAATAAGCACTTCCCTAGTAAGCGCAAGGGCCTGAGTTCAATTCCTGGTTCCACAAAAATGAAAGAAAGCAAGAAGTAAACTTGATGTTCTCACACACACAGGCTCGCAGAGGAGGCAGGAAAGGATCCACGCCAAGGGGCAGAAGTAAGGCAGCACCCATGGGAGTGGAACTATATTCCTAACAGAGCACCAGTTTCGTACAAGGACTGTCTGTACACAACTCAGCAAGACTCTCCATCCTCGCCCACACCCATTCCCTGGAGGACAGAAAAGCAAGTGGAAAGCACAGCTTAAGGTACTTAGAGTAGCCTGGAGTGGAAGATAACAGGTCCCATGTGGGAAGGCTGGCATGAAGATGTGCCTCGCCTAGACTAGAGCAGAGCGAGTATGAAGTCTGGGCAGAACTGACTACATCGAGCACAAACAAGATAAAAGGAAGGGACAAGGCAACAATGCAACAGACAATGGACTATAAAAATGAAAAAAACAAGGAAAGGAAAAAGATAATTAAGGAGTCCAGCTTAGGAAAAAGCATAAGCCAAAAAAGGGAACGATACTTCCCAGGAGTGATTCATAAAATAAATACAAATATGAATTCTATAAAGTAAAAGCCAACAGATGAGCTAAAACAAAAGCCAACAAGGAGTTTGAAAAGCTAAGAAAACACTCAATTGTTTGTACTTTTTCTCTGCTTAATTTCTTATATATTTCTTTCTTTTTTCCTTTTTCAAATTTTACATGCATATTGTCTGGCAATTTGAATAACTGGTTGGAACACTATGTATTACAACAAATACTGATGGGGCGGGGGAGATGGCTCAGTAGAATAGCGCTTGCCTGGCAAGTGCAAGGGCCTGAGTTCAATCCCCGGTTCCGCAAAAATGAAAACAAAAAAACCCAACAACAAAAAAATTCCTGTGAAGTTCATATTACTTTAAGTGAAATTCTGAATCATTTGTAATTTTTTGTTTTAATCTTAATTTGTACTCTTTAAAAAATTAAAAAGAGAAGCTAAGAAAATAGAACACAGGGCTGGTGAGATGGCTCAGTGGTCTAAAGCACCTACTTGGAACAAGCTTGGCAAAGCACAGGGACTGCGGTTCAATCCCCCAGCACCACATGCCAGCCAGCCCCGCCCCCTGGTGGGCTGAGCTGGCCACACACACACAAAATAAATAAATTAAAAAAAAAAAGAAAAGAAAAGAAAATAGAACACATCTAATACTTAAAATATAAACATTCAAAATTAATAACAGAAAGGATAAAAATTAAAAGGATAAAGCCACAGCCAACATATATAAACTGAAAAAAACTAGAAAGATACAGATAATGTAAGAAAGATACAGATAATACACCTTTGCTAATATAGAAATGCTTGACACATTTGCTTTGGCAATTAAAAGTAAAAAATTTAAAAGAAAAAGGGCACTAAAAATTTCTCTTCTCTAAAGTAAGTGTTTCAGCAAATGGAAATAATAGCTTTGTTCACTATTGTTCTTCTACTGTGTACCATCTTGTACTTAACACATTCTGTACTGGCTGAATATCCTTTTTATTAGGAAAGATTCAAGACTCTCAAAAAGGGCAACATGATAGGTATAATACACATCCTGCTGTAGTAAGTTACCTCTATTAAAAAGGTTCTACAAGCAATCAGAAGTAGAGTCCTGCATTCTTGTTTAATCTTCAGCCCTGAGATTTCACATTTGTTTCTGTATTTTTTCCCCCTTGGCATCACACTTTAGTCAACTGAGTTCAGAACTAAGCAGCTATAAATTCTTTCTTTTTAAAAAAAATTTCTATTTTATTTCTTTAAATAATTTTAATGAAAAACAAATAGTAATGAGACAGTTTCAAAACCGATTAGTAGGACAGTTTCAATAATTAATACATTGCATATTGTTGTCTTCTTAGTGGTTATTCATAGTACAAGATGTAGACATGCTATCCTATCCACAAACACTAATGGAACAAATCTTTCTATTCAATGAAGAGAAAATAGCATATATCTATTCTAACTATTTTGAATATACAGATACAAAATGGTCCTTCATTTGTATCCCCGTTTTTTTAGTTTTGTCAGAGATGGGTATTCCATTGCCATTTAAATATTGCAGGTGCATGAATTCAGCAAAATATTCTAATATAGTCCAGTAGTTCATAATAGTAGTGGATTATCCATAGGACTGGCAATGTCAGAAGTTGTTGACTTGAGCCTTTTACAGCTCAGCAAATTATTTTTTTTCCATAATTTTATTGAGGAACAAATAGCAATGAGACAGTTTCAAACCAAACTGGTAGGACAGTTTCAATAATCAACACATTGCATACATTCTTCCTAATGGTTAATTGCTGTACAAGATGTGGACTTGATATCCTATTTACAAACACCAATAGAACAAATCCCTCTATTCATTAAGAGAATGTAACTATATATCTATCCCAACCACTTTGAACACACAGATACAAAATGGACATTCATCTGTATCCCCTTTTTTTGTTCTGTTATTTGAATATTATAGGTGTGTAAACTCAGCAAAATATTCTAAAAGAGTTCAGTAGTCCATAATAGTATTGGGTCTTCCGCGTGACTGGCAATGTCAGAAATTGTTGACCTGAGTCCCCTACAGCTCAACATAACACCATGGCTTTACTTCTTATACTTTGTTTTTATACTTTTCTGCTGGATAGTTAAGACCAAGGTAAAGCAGGACCTATGCAACAAGAGTTGTAGCTTTTGGGTCTGGTAAGGTCAGTGAAATCCCCTCAGGATTTATCCTGAGACCCTGTACCTCAGATTGTAGATCCTTTGTCAGTGTCAGCCATGTGGATGAGTCACGGCCATTGCTTGGCCAATGTGCTCTCTGTGAAAGGCTGAGAGAATGTTTTCTCTCCCTGTGACTCTCCTTAGGCACACTCTACATCATCGATCTATAAATTCTTAACTGAAGACTCACCACTGGCTTTTTAAATTCCTAACTGAATTTTGGCACCTGATATACTTTTCTGCTCACAAACTAGTACCTGTGCAAGAAAAAACACCTACCGTCCATCTTTCAGAGTGTTAACGATAAATCGGTGAACCTGGCAAATGCAGTTGCTAGCCAGTTGTTCTGTCTCAACAAGAGAGTTCATCTGCGTCGCCAACATGAAAGCTGAAAAGCACAGAGACCACGTTAGCCTGCAAAGGGTTTCAGTTGAAAGAATGTGAAAGCTGATCACAAAGAAAAATAATGACTTAACAAGGTTCCTCTTCAAATTAAAAGCTAAAACTAATCAAACTCTAGATATGGAAAACAGTACCATTTTTTTTTTCTGGGGGGGGGTTGGTAACAGGGATCAAACTCAGGACCTTGGGCTTGCCAGGCAGGCGCTTATGCCACTAAGCTATCTCCCTAGCCCTATCTGTCATTTTAAACATGTATTGCCTATCTTAAATATATATTTCTTAACAGAACTCAAACCATTATATCTATTATTCAGGTTTCAGGACAAAAACTAAAAAATCTTTTCTGGGTCCTTTGCATCATCCTGGAGATAGCAGACACCTAGTCTATAAATTTTCTCCTGTCTTCCTATTAAAGCTTTTGATACAGAAATAAAATCCCCCCCAAAACAAGTACAGAATAGCCAAACGTATCACATTCACTAAATGTCTTAAAGAAATTAATAATAATAATAATAATAATAATAATAATAATAATACCATACAGCACCAGTTAGAGAAAATTAATTAAGCTAAGCAGCAGTTTTCCACCATACCCACTTTACTGTTAAAAAGAGTGCTCTCTGCAGGGCCGGCCAGATAGCTCAGTGGACTCAAGTACCTGCTTAGGCAGAGCACAGTGGCCAGGGTTCGATCCCCGGTGTGGAGTGCTGACCCCACCGCCAGGGCATGCTGAGAAAACAACTGAGACTGGTTGTAGTGGCACACACCTGTAATCCCAGAGCTTGGGAAGCTGAAAACAGAATCACTACAAGTCCGATCAACAGAGTGAGACCCTGAAAACCCTATAGACCCTGTACTAAAATACATTAAAAAAAAAAAAAAAAAAGAGTGCTCTCCACCAGCTTCAATGCTGTCCAAAAGTAGATTTCAGGAATGCCCCAAATTATGATGATTGATGTTGGGTGTGCTTATTACTGAAACAGTTACAGATACTCAATTTATATACTTACAGGATAGAGTGTTTATCCCATCACTCATAAGCAGTCGATAACGGGGTGGACTATTCCCTGTAGTAATGGGGCGGATGCTCTAGGACAGAAAACTTGATTCATTAGCCAGGCGTTTTGCCCAATCCCCAGATAAGTAAACCTAAGGATATTGGGTTTGTCATTAGTTCAGGTCATACTAAACTCTATGCCCATTCTCTTGACCGCTAAATGCAAATGGAAAAACATTGGATTTGGTGATTTTTTCTACCAACCTCTCTCTACTTACCATTATTAAATACAGACTAGACTAAAATGAAAATGACAATGTGCTGTGTTCTCCCCAGCTCAAATCTGGCTAAAATTAACCACAAAAAAGAGCATACATATATGAGTGTATAAAAAAGGGCATCTCATGTAAGGTACTGTGTTAAGCTAGGTGTGCTGGTGTACGCCTATAACCCCAGCTACTCTGGAAAGAGGTACGAGGACAGTGAGTTCAAAGCCAGTCTGAGCAACACAGCAAGACTGGCTCGGGGGTGGGGGGGAGGGAAGAAATTTTAAAAAATGATATAACAAAAACAAACAATAAACCCACAAAAACCCACCTTGGCCCTGAAGGGGATTACACCTGGGATGAATAGGAAAGCAAAGTGACATAAGCAAAATGTGTACACAGTGCTTCCCAGGCAGGGCCACGACAGCCATCGCCAACGTGGGGGAGATCAGAAGCAGCTTTCTGAGGGAAGTGAAATACGTAAACAGCCTGAAGATTAGGGCAGTCTGTGAGCAGTGGGAGGCCAGCAGGTTTACTGTCTCAAAATCTGCAGGTGTGATCCTGGATTCTGTTTCTACTGATGTTTATAATTCCTATTAAATACAAGAATCTCTTAAATAAATGATGAGCTAATTGAAGAATTTTAAGTGGACTCATTCATTTAGATATCTCTCCAGAGATCTTATGTAACATGTTTGAACAAGATAAACCTAAGGACGGGGAGACAAGTAAGAAGACAGTATAATGACATTTAGCATCATGTCATCTACTCACCATGGAAAAGAACAGAGGCAAAGCATTAAATTTGAACCTCCAAAGGTTTAACTTTAATATAATTTTAAAAAAAGAAAAGAGCTGGGGAAAGTTATGAGGTGGACAAATCTCTAATTTATAATTATATATATGAGTCTAAAATTGTTTGACATAAAACATACGCAGGTACTCACAACGACTTGGAGAATGGGTTTTATGGATGTATCCCCCTGTTGCATTATAGCCTGAAAGAACAAAAACAGATTCTGGTGAGACTTAAATCACAATTAAAAATTGGGAAACTTGGAATGTGGCCACGTCTGCCCCTCCTTGATTTGGGCGTAGAAGTGCATCCGTAACATGCTACATGAATAACAGACTTCTCAGGGCTGCCAACTTTACAGCAGAGGTTGAGTGGTAGTATATTTCTCCTACACACACACACACACACACACACACAATATAAATAAATAAATAAATTTTATAGTTTGCTATTTATGGTAAACTACAAATACTAGTGCTATAAGAGCCTGTTTAGAGCTGGTCATTTGAAAGATTTGATTTATCATTCTGGACAAATCAAAAAGTGCCTGTTTTCAAGGAAAACAAACCAATAGCATTTTTAGTCAATAATGTTTTCTTATGAAAATGAGAACTTTTAAACTTTACAGAATCCCAATACTTTTCTCATTAAGTCACTGGTGATGTTAATAAAGATGAATTTTTAATATAAAGTACATTGACATTTGGCAAATTTGCATAATACAATGAACCAATATTTTCCAAAATACTAATGCATGTTAAAAACAAAACAGATTAAAAAGAATTCAAAATACAAGACAGATCAATCTATATCCTATCAAAGTTTTAAGAAAAGATCACTTTTTTTTTCCTTTTTTGGTATGAAGACTGAACCCAGTGCTATACTGAGCTACATCCCCAACCCATACCTTTTTATTTTAAGGTAGGATCTTATTAAGTTGCTAAGCTGCAAATGCTGATGATGCTATGGGGATAAAGGAACTGTTCTTCCACTATTGGTGAGAGTGTAAATTGTTACAACCAATATGGAAGTCAGTATGGCAATTCCTCAAAAAAATTAAAACTAGAGGTTCCATTTGATCCCAATATTCCCCTTCTAGGTATCTTCCCAAGAGTTAAAAGCATCATACCGGGCTGGTGAGATGGCTCAGTGGTCTAAAGCACCTACTTGGAACAAGCTTACCAAAGCACACGGACCGCGGTTCAATCCCCCAGCACCACATGCCAGCCAGCCCCGACCCCTGGTGGGCTGAGCTGGACACACACACACACACACACACACACACACACACAAATAATAAAAAATAGTAACAATAAATAAAATATTAAAAAAAAAGCATCATACCACAGTGTCATACGCATATCCGCATACCCATGTTTATAGTATCATAACTTATAATAGCTAAATCTTAAAAATACCCCAGATGCCCATCTAGCCAATGAATAGATAAAACAACTGCAGTTTTTATATACAATGGAGTACTACTGCACCATAAACGATAAGCTTGAAGGGAGTGGTGAGATAGCTCAGGGGCATAAGTGCCTGCCCGGCAAGCACAAGGTCCCAATGCCTAGTAAGCCGGTAGTGGTGGAATAAGCTTGAGACATTTGTAGGTTAAATGTCATTTTAAGCCCACACATGTGGAGCCCAAAGCACAGGTGCCCTGAAGGCATGAAGCGTCCCAGGGGAAGTAGGAAGAAAATGCTCAAATGGGAAGGGGAACAAGGAAGGGGAGAGGGAGATGGGAAGGAAGAGAAAAGGGAAAGAGAATAGAAGGAAAAAAATGGATGGTTTTTATAAATGAGGAAGGGAAGATGGGTTTTTTGTAAATGAGGAAGAGAAAAAATAGGAAAAAAAAAAAAGAAAAAGAAATACTATGTACAGGTACAAATTCCCTATACTAAATGCAATTATTATGTATATCGAAAGGGCACCAAAAAATTAACTGGAAGAAAAAAAGTTGCTAAATTGCCTGGGTTAGGCTGGAACTTGCAGTCTTCCTAGGTCAGCCCCCAGAATGCTGGGATTACAGGTGTTCACCATCACATCTGGATTAAAAACTCGGACAGAGTATCAACAAAAGTCTGGGTTGAGATAGCTCAGGGCTGGGGCAGTTGCTTAGCATGTGTGGGGCCCTAGACACAATCCTCAGCACAGTCAAATAAAGAAGGCCTGACAAAGACTATTAAAATACTCCATTAAGTTCAAACAAAACAATGGACTGAGTGAAAATGTCATATTATAAAGATGTACAAAAATACAAAACAATATCATTCTCAGTATTTTTGCTTTTTTCACTATAGGGGCCTGAACTCAGGGAACACTGATCTAGGATATATCCCCACCTCTTTTAATTTTTTAAATTTTGAGCCAAGATCTCACTAAGCCATCAGTTCTCCTGACTGAGCTTACGTTTATAAACCTTCTCCCTTAGCCCCCAAAGTACTAGGATTACAGAAGTGTATCACTAGGCCTGGTGATTAAATGTTACTTATACTAATTTTATCTGAAATGGGTAAATATTTTAAAATATCTCAGTTATAATTTCAAATAGATATGGTGGTATAGATATAGCTTACAAAAACGAAAGGTCTTAGGTAGGGCCCAATGATGCCTAAAAGTATGTAAATCCAATTCTAAGACCAAAATCATGGACTGAATGTGCAAGTCCCTCCTCTTTCAGAATGTTAAGACTTTATAATCTCCAATGTAATGGCGTTACGTGGAGCCTTTAGAATGAGGTCCTAAAGCTGGGGACGCTACAGTGGGATCTGGGCCCTCGTGAAGGAAAGAAATCACAGCTTTCCCTGCAACAGCACAAAGAGGCCACATAAGCACACAGTGAGATGACAGCAGTCTAACAACCAGAAAGAGTATATTCACCAGAAACCGTACCTACTGGCTCCTTAATTTTAGACTTCTCTGTCTCCAGAAATTTGCCAAAAAAAGTTTATTCTTTTTTTTTTAATAATTTTATTTTTTTTAAATATTTATTTTTATTTATTACATTTAT